ATTACGTTATCAGGAATAAAAAAAATGCATGTGCTTTTTTGAGAGCTTATCGCGCAGAGCTTGAGCGGCCCTGCATATGCATCCATGTACGAGTTTCCTTGTTGCGTGCATCCTAGGGTTAGAGCGCCTTCCCACGACGCCACGGCAGCGCGCGTACGTCAATCGGCAGGGCTCTTCGCCGACCCTCCGGCGACGACTAACAAAGGGACCGCAGCAGGTAGAACGCAGCGACCGGCGGTCGCAGTGGGAAGGCTCCCATTTCAAGCTGTGTTCTGCTAGCGGTGGCGCGTCCCTCCTCCTCCGCTTCGCGTAGCGCGTGTCTTGACGGGAGCGCGCTGCCGTCGCGACGTGGGAAGGCGCTCTTAGACGCCTGTTGGCAACAAAAGCACTCACCTGGTGGGGCTCGCCGGCGGAGCGGCGGCAGGGCGCGGAGCGGGCGCCCTTGCAGAGCAGCTCGGCGCGCAGGAAGGGCGAGTCCACCTTGGGCGCCGACGCCCTCCGCCTGTGCCCTTGCGTCTGCCTCGGCCCCGCGTCGCCGCCCTCGTCCGGGGCGTGGCTTTGCTCTGCGGGACAACGGCCATGGACAGGACCTCGGGCGTACTTTCGAAATCCGCACCACAATAGAGAAAAGTAACGCGGCAGTTCTTCGATCCTCCCTCACCATCATGTATCTTGATGTGGTTTCAGCTATGTAATTCTTTTATTTCCCTATCACTTTTTCCAACCGACGGCCGGTTACCCTTTAAGTCGCGAGGGAACGCATATTCGACCATACTTTAGACACGAACACACTTGCGGGCTTTTCGGATCTGGGGTCAGTAGAACGCGAGGCCTCCGCGACAACACACACAAGAGAGACAAGGGAGAAACAATGCCCAAGGCGGGACTCGAACCCGCGATCCTTCGGACCTAAGCGCTGAGTCGGTACATGCTCTTAGCCACCTCGGCCATCCACGCCGGCTCATGTAATTCATAAACAATTATTTACAGAAGGAACTGAGTGTATACATGTACTTAATTTATTCATGTGTCAATTATGTTTCCAAAACCATGTCAGTATATTCAATGTGCTGTAAATGTAATGTACTTGACTTTTGATGGCCTTCGGGCCGAGAGACTTTTTTTAAGGCAATGCCTGCTGCCTTCCTTTGTTATCAGTTACCCACTCTTTATAAATAATATCATTCCCATACCAATTAAATCAGTTATAAATATTTTCAAGAATGATTCTGGACATCATAAGTCACTAAGCTTATAATCGAGTGACACAATATTTAACCTTTGAATATTAAATGTTATTAGTTTTAAGAAAATATTACTATTGAATTTAAAAACTAGTGATGCTACAAGAGCTAATTCTTTCTCGCATTATTTCTCAGTGCTCCGCTGTATTATACGCGTATTACTACATAAACATGCAAAAATGTTTTCAGACAGCAAACATTATTTTGCGCCCCGGGATTCGAAATCAGTTTCTCCGAGTTAACTCAGCCATACCTCTATGATACAGAAGAACGTAAGATTTGAATTCCGGCCAACGCTTAAAAATGAAATCGTCGCAACCCAATATATCAAACAAATTTTTGCAATTTTTTAAAACATGGATAGTTCTCTGAAAATGGGACTAGCATCATTCTTTTTACCGTGTGTTGTTACATACGAGGAGAAAGTTTAATGAAAACATTTGGTGGGAGACCATTGAGACACCATTTTTTTTAAAATTGCATAAATTTAAAATAATAAAAATAAATACGCGAAATTTACTCACTTCTCATTCATAACAAAGAAGTCAATCATCTTAGTTTCGCAAAATGGTAGAAATTAACTTTTATTACCCGTTATCATTTGCAGTGTATTTGAGCACTGACAATGGAAGACTGTCGGGCGTACCTGGTTGCGGGTTGGCGGCGGCCTGGCGCAGGGCGATGCTGTGCTCGAACTCGCGAGCGAGAGCGCTCACGTGGCTGCCCGAGGGCCGGCGCGGGCGGCAGCGCTGCGCGGAGCGGGCGCGGCGGGGCGGCCCCGCCCCCGCAGCCTCCGGCCCATCGCCCTCACCCTCGCGGGGCTCGCGCTCCGGCTGCCGGGGCCCTGAGGGCGCGGCCGCCCTTCGAGACCCGCTGCTTTCGCGCTCCGAACGCCTGGACGCCTGCAAGGGGTCGTGGGGTCACAACGGGCGAATTGACGACTTTGATTGGTTGATTAATGATTTCGCGTACCTCAACTGCTAACGTCATCTGTCCCAAAAGTGTAGTGCATGTTTTTATGACGGGGATCTTCCGCTGCTGGATGATGAGATTCGGCGCCGACCTACGCGTCGGCTGGCAATGTTTTTCCCTACAAGGTATCTCCGTCCAGGGGCACAAGCTCTGAGCCCCCGACTGTTCTCCTGACATGTGTGGTAGAACGTGCTGCCCTTGTGATAAGGTAGTGCTTTGGCATTGCGCGTGGTGGTGATAGGAGAAACTACTGAAAACTACCGATTAGAGCAGCAGGCCTCAAGAGTTCTCCTCCAGACGGCGGCTGAATTTGACCTAGCTATGTAGCTAGTATCGAAAATCCTGCCACCGACGGGACTCGATTCCTAGGACCTCCCGGTCAGAGGCAATGCCATCTAAGCCGGTGCTTATTGGCAGGGACGGTGCCTGCAATCAACCCCCTCCCCTAGAGCCGAAGCCAGGCACATTTTTGACAATCGTCTACATAAAGTGGATAAATGGAACAGGTGTGTCAAGTGGTGATTCAAAATGTTGTACGTGTTTGGGAAATTCGGTTAAGTTCGTTTCGCAAAAAATCGACAATTTGATATTGATTGTTTGGCTCGCTTCTCTGTCGCATTTCCAAGTTGACGGCAAGGCCCCACCCTTCGCCCACCGAGATTAACATCTGAGACCTCTCGCGATATAGATGAGAGTTACATGCTCTCATATATGAACCTCACCTTTAACGGAATTATGAACACAGATTTTGAAAATTCTTACAAATGTTTCAAGAAAAACAAAGGAAAGCTTTGTGTTCTTTATAAATCATTCGTAGATAACTCGCCTTGACAGGAAATTCAGATGAAGAATATTAAAATAATATTTTGGCATAGGTGATCACAGCCACACAATTCGAACAAAAAACAGACGCTGAGAAATTTGTATTTAGCTACAAAACAATTACTAATGATTTGCAAAGTTTACCCACAAAGACTTTGAAAACCATTCCTTTACTTGATAAGGATTTTACATGAAGGTTGCAATATGAAAATATAAATTTTGTACGAGTTGTATGAACTCGAGGTAATTAACAATTGAGGGATGGAACGTGGACGCAAGGTTGTTGAGAGAGACAAGATCGAGTTCGCGAGAGTATAGACACCGGAATGTAGGCCAGTTAAATTTTAATGAGCAATTAATATTTAAAATCCAGTTAGAAGCAACTTTAGGATATTGCAAGTTTGGCGAAGTCTTTGGGAAGGTAAATCAACATGTTGATCGATGGTTCTAAAGTAAGGAATAAGATATCCTCAGAAGCAGAGAAGGAAACATTTGCCGCTTGATTCTGTTTGTACAATTTTACGAACAATGCTTTGTGTTTTTATGTGCGTACTTAGGCATCTGCGGCCTGAGGCAATACATTCTTGGCTATCCGCGATGAGCCACGTCTCGGTCAATTGTACTAACATTTCGGCCACCTTCCTGTGGCCTGCTTCAGCGCAGTATAGCTCTAAAGAAAGCCACAGCAAGATGGCCGAAACGTCAGCACAATTGACCGAGACGCGGCTCATTACGAATAGCCAAGAATGTAATGCTTAGTGTGTGCATTTAAAGTGTTCTTATTTAATTTCCACGCAGAAAGAGGCCAATGGTCAGAATGTCGTGTGCTGAGTGGCGATACAGCTGCAGCTAATTTAGTTGTGGGCGATAAAAGCGAGCGCGGGCTCAGCATGTGTGCTTAAGAGGGTGCGGGAACATTGGGTAACAAATTAGATTTATTTGCGATTAAAAGATATTGAAGGAGGGGCATATAGTTGTGCAGAACGGTTAAGTATTTGTCTCTGGCAATGTGAAACTGTTCAGTGTAATAGCAGCAGAGAAATGCACTGAAAGTGACTATTGCTGTATCTCAATATGATTAAGCTATTAGCTAAATCATATCGATAATCTATTATAGTATTATTTATAATTACTTCTATCATTATTTTTGTGTATTACCATATACTTTCTATATTGCTAATTTTCTGAGTATGAAGATTCCCCTAGTTTACACTCAGTTGCAGCGTTAATAAATCTAATGTAATGTATTAGAGAACGTTTAATTAGCGAACAGAAAATTCAATTGCGTATCTCTGAAAGGGATACGTCGGTACTGTGATACTACTCGAACTCACCTGCGTGGAGTCCGAAGATGATGCGCGCAGAGCTCTGAATTTTTGAGAATTCAGAAGTTCCACTCCTGTTCTAATGGGTTTGTGATCGTGATGCCTTGGAGACTTCGAGAACACATCGATCTCCACTTCATCGATTTGCACGTGCACCTGTATATTCTCCGAGGAATCCGGACACGGCTTGAGAACCGGCGTCTGACCGTCCGTATCATCCAAACTGTCGCCCCAACCGCTGTGCACAGTCTCTTCGTTCGTCTGAGTAGACGAATCCACCCTCTTCAGCTCTCTCAGTTCTTCAACCTGTCTGGTTTTCACCGGTTTGTTTCCAAGGTTCTTGCGTCCCGTGCTCTTGCTCGAGGTAGAATTAATGTGCCTGCGAAAGACGGTGGCCTTTGAAACCTTTGAAGTGCTTTGCAACAGTTCTTCCTCGGACTTGGTCACAAGGGGACGTCTGGCGGACTCGACTCTTGCGTCGCGACTGCCCCTCGGTGTAACACCTGGGTGGTCGCTCCTTGATGAAACACCTTGGTGATCGCTCCTTGGTGAATTACCTTGGTGATCGCCCCTCAGTGATACACCTGGGTGGTCGCTCCTTGGTGAAACATCTTGGTGATCGCTCTTTGGTGAATTACCAGGGTGATCTCTCCTGTGTGATACACCGGGGTGATCGCCCCTCGGTGTAACATCTCGGTGGTCGCTCCTTGGTGAAACACCGTGGTGATCGCTCCTTGGTGAAGCACCTAGGCAATCGTTCCTTGGTGAATTACCTTGGTGATTGCCCCTCGGTGAAACACCTGATTGGTCGCTCCTTGGTGAAACACCTCGGTGATTGCTTCTCGGTAAAACACCTTGGTGATCACAGTTCGGCGAACTGGCAGGGTGAGGAACTTTGGGCGCGCAAACTCGCGGCGACGCCGACGCGGGAGGCGCCGGCCTCGCGACCCGTTCTCGCGAATCGCTCCACCTTCTCGTCGTCGCCGGCCTTTCCCTCACCTCCCGTAAGCTGCTCCTTAAAATAACGTCCGCGTCTTCAGTGTTGGGGGACAAGCCCGGAGCTAGGCGAAGACCTCTTAATTCCGACGTGCCTCTCTTACGAGGCCGCTGCCCAGGGGATTCATCCTCGGCGTGGAACGTCTTCTGGGCGACGCGATCCGTCGATGGCCTCCTGCGAATCACCCACGCGTCGTTCCTCGAGAGCCGACCCGCTTCGGGGCCACGCCCCCCTGCCCCCTCCGCGTCGCCGGCCCTCCTGGCCAGCTGGGCTCGGGCCGCCTGGGCGCGGGCGGGGTACGTGGAGCGGGTCTGCGGGCGGAGGGCGTGCTCCCACTCGGAGCATCGCGAGCGTGCGGGGGGCGTGGCGGGGGGGTGGCCGGGGGGCGTGCGGGGTGGTGCGGAGCCGCCGAAGCCGGCCGCCGTTGCCGCCCGCCGTCGCCAGGGGCGAGCCCAGCTCGGGCTGCTGGCGCTTGGCCAGCGGGCGGGGCGGCGCCGACGAGCGGCAACCGGAGCTCTTGTACAGCCGGACGTGCGGGGAGTGCATCACCCGGGCTGCGGGGGCAGCTGGGTGGTGGCCGCTACTGCGCAAACAAAAACACGCTTAGTAATTTAGAAACTACAAGATTAGTGGCCAATCCACATGGTGTCGGTTACAAGAACTGAGTGAGCAAAGTCAGTGGCGGGAACAGATATATTGGGGTACACCATAATATTGATTGTTTTTCAATATGGGAGCATGTAAGGTTCCAGGTCCCACTTAGTCCTGGCTGCTTTCGTCTCTAAATTGTGACATGATTGGCTGACCAACCTTTGCATTACATTCACTATCACAAGAGTCTGGGTGGTTGAGGGGCCTGCATTTGAGGCAAATGCCAATTACATCTGAGTTCTGAACTCCATCATTAATTTAATTTGTGATTTGACGATGGGTACGACCCAACCACCTCGTAACACTTTAGTAAAAACGTAGTCCTTCCTTACAACCATCCCTTTGCCACGGTACATGATGAGATGCAGGTGATGTTAGGACCTGAGGTCAAGTGTAAAGACCTAAGAGCCGCAGCCTTGCGCCATGCGGGTGAGCTCGAACCCCCTTCCATTACAATGGTCTAGGCTCGCGAGTTACATCGATGGGACGGAATGGACGCAGGGAACGCACGTGAACGTCGATGGGGCCAAGGTTTGAAATAAAGTGTTTTTGAAAGTGCTCAACGGCCGAACGTAAAACAAGATTAGTAATATGAATACCACACAATTCCTATTAAATACTAAACATTTGGTACTGGAATTTAATTTAGCATTAAATACTGAAATTTGGTAATGAGCATGAATTGAATATTATTGGGCTAGTCGCATCCTTTGCAATAACACAAAAAAAGTAAGCTCCTGTTACATGAGGTGAAATGTGAAATTTTGGCTACGTACGCAAATAATAATAATAATAATAATAATAATAATAATAATAATAATAATAATAATAATAATAATAAAGAATCCTAAGTATGTAATATTATCAAGAAGTAACATCTTTAATGTAATATTTACAAAAAAAGACCAAAAACATAAAACTTATTGCTTTAAAAATGTTGAATAGGGTTTACAGTATTGTCATTTTCACACATACATAACTTGATGTACTGTATCACAAGGTCGTCTATCAGCAACGAGGTCTGAATCACTCTGAACAATTTGTGGGGGTAGGGGTTAATGAGCCGCAATGGCACGATGGGCGGAAAGACTTAGGTGATTCCACCGAGAGGAAACAGCCTCGGCCTGGAGGAGGCTCTTATGCACTGAATGATGCAGACGTATACCAGGAATGCTTTTAGTAGCCTTTGTTTCATTAATTTGACCAATCTACACGTATTTGCCTGCAAAAACGCACATTGCCTGCAAAAACCTTTGAACCCTTTCCTCGCAGCGAATAAAATTTTAGGAATTTACTACATAAATGAGGCAATTAGCTGACAATAGAAGGTTATAGAGCGATGCGTCAGTAATATATTGTGAAGTGAGGTATCGTGCAGCGTAAGAAAGAGAAATAATGTAAGAAGTGATTAAAGGGTTATAGTGAAGTGTAGTGTAGTGAAGTGAAGTGAAGTGAAGTGTAGTGTAGTGTAGTGAAGTGCAGATGAAGAAAAATTTAGTGGGCAGTTTGATTAGGTTTCTTTTTTTTTAAAGGTAATTGTAAATGTTTTAGGAATTAGACAGATTATATCATTATTATTATTTTATTATTATTTTATTATTATTATTATTATTATTATTATTATTATTATTATTATTATTATATAATTTGCATGATAGCTGAATTATTTTATTTATGTAATTAGCTGCCACCGGGTAATGCCCATTTGCAGTTCAAATAAATTTATCTTTATCTTTTATTACTTTGAATAATTATGAGCCTTTTGTTCGTTTACCCGCGCAGCGTCGTGCGAGCGGCGGAGGCCTCGGGGCCGGAGCCGGCGCTGGAGCCGGCGCTGGAGCCGGCGCTGGAGCTGGAGCGGGCGGACTCGCCGTCGGAGAGGCGCCGGGGCCGCCGGGGCTCCTGCTGCGGGGCGCTGGAGCGGCGCGGCGGCGGGCGAGGGCGCGGCCGAGGCGCCAGGCAAGAAGTGCCCCGGCCACGCGTGACCCTCGGAGGCGGCGGCGGCCGGCTGGTCCAGCCGCGCGCGCCCACCGGCGCCGGCTGCACGGGCGGGCTGGGGAGCACACAGCGGCGAATTCAATCATCGGCAAGGGTGGCTCAGTGCAGGGCCTCTGACAGGGAGCTCCTAGGCTTCCACTGTCGACAGTGGCAGCGTTTTCGACACTAGCTACTCTGCTAGGTCGAATTCAATCGCTGTCTGGAGGAGAATTCTAGCGGCCGGCTGCTCTGATCGGTTTCCGTGGTTTCTCCCATCAACACCAGGTGAATGCAGGGGCAATACCCTAACAAACGGGCCACGGACAGCGCGCGATCTTCCCTTCCTCATCCTTGTACACTTTTCACTCCTTAATTACACACAAACAAACACTTCTATCCGCTATACTTCCACGTATGTTGAGAGACCAGTCTAGAGCTTACAGTTTGTCCCGGCTGGGGCGCTACCCTACTTGTGGGAGGTACTTTCTTAGGAGAAATCCCCGCAAGTCGACGCCGGGGATCTAGCTATCTAGCGGGGGATGATTGTCACCTACCGCGGTAAAAGTATGCACTAGACTTACAGAACTAAAGCCCTAAGCAGTAGTCAATCAATCAAATTCCATTCAATGATGTCTTATTTTACGTGGCGAGATTCAGGCTATCTGCCCAACTCTTCCGCCTGACCCAGCAAATTTTGCTACGCTCTTTCGGTATCAAGCGGAGAAAGATGCGAAAAGTGCCTAAAACAAGACAAATTGGCGCCTAATCTCAAATAGAAAAAAATACCTTTCTTTGGTGTAAATTAATGGCAAAGGTGCACATGTCAAATGTGACGCCTGAAGATAGTTAATTTTTCCTTCCAAAAACCTCCAACTTTGTTACAGAGAAACAGAAATCAAGTGTCCAAAAAATAAACGCTCAAACTGCTTCGCAAACGGCGTTCAGAGCGCAGCACTTCCCAGTGTCGGGTTGATGCCTATTGAAATTCCGTAGCATTGCCTGAAACATTGAAAGTAGGGTGCCAATGTGAAGCTATTTTCACTTTTAAAACAATGATTTAAAATGTATTGTTTTTGAAGATTGCAATTTTTGTGCGAAAGAAAATTGGGTCCATTTTGGGGGCATTTCCGCTCTTTTGAACACTAGTTGTTCTCCTCCGAGGTGAGGCACTGCAGTAAAAATCGCCGTAACATCAATAAAGTACTAGGTAATCAATTAGTGGTGCTACAACTCATACTTTTTCGCTTTATTTCGAACTTTTCCTATCTTAGCAAATTTAGAGTTTAACGAAATTGAGTCATTCACCAATTTTTAAGAACCCTTTGTTCTACCCGAGAGAAAAAATATTAAAGAAAAAAAATGCCTCTATTTCACGTAAAATTTCGCGAAAACTACTCACATTTTCGAAAAATTGTATATAAGCTTAATTCAAGATCTGTGTTTTAAGAAGAAGTGTTTTCTTGAAGGAAAGCTCTTTTTCCAATATAATACTTGCAGGAAGACTCCGAAATATTTTGAACTTTCGCAATTTTCGAAAATTTAGAGTTCTTCGAAAATGAGACCTGTGCCAGGTTTTCGCTTGTATCTTGAGTTCGGCAATATTGAGGGGGAATATTAATTATGGATTTAGTTCGAAGGGTGAAGGTGGTAGCGTTAATCACATGTTTTGGCGTCAGTTTTTTTTTTTTGCCTCAAGGGCCCACAAAACGCGGACTCATACTCGTCGGACTGTTACTCTCTCGGATTTTAACACAATGTGTTAAAGTAATTTATGACGTATTGGAATAAGATTTATCCACCTTTTCAATTCGATTTGATTCAGTTATGTCTTATTTTACGGAGCGAGACTAAGGAACTATTCTTCCGTCCGACCACACAAAATTTCGCTACGCTCCTTTCACAATCTAGCGAAGCAGAAGCATCGAGCATCGAAAAGGGCGATTTGAATTTAGCTCAGAAGCTTCTTTCAGGATTGAGTATCTTTTACACGCAATAAATCTAGAACATGGGACATCCGGCTTTACTTTCCTTCCGAAAGAATACCACCGAAGCCGCTTTTTCTGGACCAGGGCCCCGCAATACGAGTTCTTTTGAGGAACATGTGCGATTTCCCCTGCAGCATTACAATACTTTCTCTGTACTACGTAAACTGTTTACGAGAAAGTAAAAAGCAATTTTCTGAGTTGATGCATTTGGGAAGCGATAAGATCGAGTATTATATCGAACCGCAGCATAGCTGCTTCAACTCCTGTGACCGAAGTTCAGGAACTGTAATTGGGATTTCGAAGAATACAAATAATATTTCAATTCGTACTTCCATGATGCCCGAGACTACAACGCTGCAATTTACAGTTGGGATTACCAAACGTCTTTATTTGTTAGACCTCGCAACAATGGTCCGTACTCACTTTCCAGCCTTCCACAAACCCAACAATTGATTACTTTTTGATAATTTTAATTTGGTAAAGTAATTTTCTCAGCTAAATTGGTGGATAAGAAGAATTCTTTTCTATGTAAGCAAGTGCTACTATAGGTCCTAATATGACCGTTCACACTAATTTTATAAATATAGAAATTTAATATTGTCTGCTTTTATTTTATAATTTACTTACTTCAATGTGAAGCTACTGTGATGGCGTTTCATAAAACGACAAAGTTAAATTGAAACATAAATTAACAAAAAAATAAAATATAATGAATTATCTTAATATAATTGGAAATGCAATATGAATAAATTACCAAGTTATCCAATAGTCTTTCTATAGACTACTTATCCTTAAATAACACTTGGGCAATTAATTCATAGTTCCTTCACTTGAAGCTAAAGTTGAGTAAATTTCCCCACAAAATTTACATTTAGGTAGAAATAATCTGATTAAAGTGCTCAGTAATAAGCAGCTTCTATAAGATAACATCTGTTGAACATTACACAAAGTAATTGGTTACTCATTTTTTCTTGTACCTACCATTCCAATCTAAAAACCACAATTCATTCAGAGCATATTACAATAATTCAACGAATTTTCGGGAATATAAACGTTTTTAATATAAACTCACCTATGTACTGAATGTGTTGTCTGCACTTGTTAACCTGTAAAGAACTTCAACCACGAACTGATTTTCGATTTACTGGATATTGAATAGAATTGAAATTGACTTGTAGACACTCAATACGTCGTCTTTGCCAAACAGTTGTCCTTACTTTTTCTCTAATATACAAAAACAAATGTTATTAAACTGTTATGGCTCTTTCTACCTACCAAGCACACAATACGTGCACACAATTGTATACATGCAACTGAATGAATTTTGGGGTTATCTGAAAGCGATACAAAGGAAACAATTAATTTCTTATACTCTATTGTTCAAATATCTGATTTGGTTTCAGAAAAAATATTTAATATATCAATAAATTCGATAGTACTATAACAATTAATTATTTTTAAACTTCATTCGGTGATAATTCTCATAAAATTCTATCGCCTCGGAATAAAACAACTGTGCATATAGGTTTTCTTTGCCAACAATCGAATACGCATAGCTCGTGATTTCAGCAAAACGCTGTTTGAGAATTGTGAAATATCCAGTAAGAGGAAGTATTAGAAAGCAATTCTTCGCATTACCGTTAGGATCGCTTTTTCGTCAGGTTACATATTTTAAAATAAGATTGTTTAGATTATTTGAAATTTGTCATGATAAGTTGTTCAAATATCACATTCTTAGATTGTGTATAGATGAGAGGAACTTATTGGCAAGAATTAGATAAATATTAAAATTTTCTTGTTATAAAAATTAATAAGCTTGTATTCCAGAGTATATACTATATGTAGTTTACTTCGTAGGAACAGAAACCTGCAATAAAGGGCAATGGACATGAGTTGCCTTTTTTGTGCTCTTCACGTTTGATTTGATTTGATGTATTTAGTCAAAAGGCAGTAAAATCTCTGGGACCCTATACTCAATTGGCAGAGAATTGGAAAGATAAGTAAATAATGTCCTTTCGTGCCAGTACGGCATTTCTACTCTTTGAGATCGTTATCCAATCTAGGACAATACCACGAATTCCATATAAAGGTAATTTTGAGAGTAAGATGTAAGTAAGAAGGGTCAATAACGACAAAAGCTTTCGAAAGATCTGAAAATATTCCAATAGGTTCTTCATTTTGGTTCATTGACGAAGCAACATCTCTAAGAAAAGAAAGAATGGCAGTTTCCGCAGATTTTGATTTTCTAAAACCGTGTTGTGACTCGGAAAACGCTTCGTTGTTTCTGAGGAATGTTTTAACTCGCGCATAGAAAAGCGTCACTAATATTTTTGAGTAAACTGACAAAAGAGAAAATGGCCGGTAATTTTCAATTTCAATTTTGTTCCCTTTTTTTAAAGGGGCATAATTTTCGCTGTTTTGAAAATACCTGGAAATATACCTGTGCATAAAGAAGCAATGAAAATGTGAGTTAACAAGTGTGTAAAGACAGATGGACAAGTTGTTAATAAACAGCCCGGAAATTCATCTAAACCAGATGAATACTTATTTTTTAGTTTACTGACTTTATTTATTTACGTCAAAAACAGTTAAAACTGTGTGTGACGTGCTAGGGGGAGAAGTTAATTTGAAATTACATTTATGTCCATAAGCAAAACAAGGGGCCATCTCAGCATTTGCTCGAGGATCAGGGAAACTGGACGAAAACCTGATCGAGATGGGGGTCGTTGACCCAGAAGCTGAAGTACAATACTTATTACAGATTCTTTACAATTATACAATCCAAATGCTATATAATACATTAAATGTCATTGTTAAAATTAATACTACTTTCCTTTTGGATGCTTGGTATAGTCTCTAATTGTACAGAAACAGTTGGACAACAGAAAAGATTTTACTTGGGACAAACTTTTTTATCGAATTTAATCGTTTAATGCCATCTAGCAAAGTGTTGTAAAATAATGTACATGTATTATATGTGAATTTTTTGTAGTGAGCTGTTAATACTGTTACCTGATGAATATGATTACTATGTCGAGTGTTGTAGTTATAGACCATGGCGTTTGCTGAAAATGTATTCCCGTCCTTGTAAGTCATTTTTGACAAAAACTACTGATTCATATATTAAGAGACTATACTGAGGATATGGTTGGAGGAAGTTTCAGAAATAAACATCGTGACCAAAACTTTTTTTATCTATTTTATTATTTGGTTATATATTATTTTTTTCGGATATTTTGTTTTTCTATTTAACGTCGAAAACGGTTAACACCTATGTGTGGCTTATGAAGAGAAGTATAATTTGTGCGCGTTTTCGTGTGCTCCAGAATCCCTAACCTCGATTTTACTAGTAGATTAAATTGAATAATAAATAAAGGGAACAATAAGGGTTTTTCTTAACATTTGAAAACAAATGTCCACTTTGTTCACTTATCACAATTTACAACGGAAAATGTGCTACAGATTTTGTCTCTCATTTCTCACGTGATGCAAACATAGAGAACGATTATGTGATGGGATTGTTAATGAAATAAATATATTCCCCACTAACACCTCATAAGAGCACAATAAAACGTGCGTAGATAGTAAAGTTCTATTCATGTCTAGAAGGAAAACTAGGGGCCATCTCAGCATTTGCATAAAGGATCAAGGGAAACGACAAAAACAATCGAGAGGAGTCATTGTCAGGCACTGAAACGTTTTTAGAAAGATAGATTTGCCTCTTCATTAATGAAAACATTTGTAAGATAGTAACACGTTTTACCCACCCCAATAGTATTGACAAATAAGAAAACATTCTTCTCGGGAACCATAAGTCATGACCACTTGCTCTTTTATGTTTCACCACGTAGAACGTTGCACCCTTCACTGAACATAGTTATGTACTATTTACAAGCAAAGATTTAAATGGAAATCCCCAAACGGCCTGTTCTGCAACGTACAGGTGCTAATAATTTTTCGCCTTCCTCTGCAGTTTGCACACAAAACAATTCTTAGCGACTAACTCAGCGTTTCTCAAGTCACCCAGTGTGGATCTGTTGCTGACACAGCAGACGTTGCCTCAGAAGCCAAGCACAGTCGTTTCGCTTTACGGTTTGGTGCCCATGAAAGAAAATTGGGGAAATCGAATGTCAAAGCCGATTGCCAGAGAAACATCCAACTTAACTTCAAGACACTTAAAGGTAATCCACAACATGCTAGTAAACTTTATCCACTAAACTTCGTGTATGTTTTTAGCCTCTCAAGTCTTCATAGAAGGACGAATAAGTGACATTTTGTGCATGTGAAATTAAATTTACATCCGTATCTAGAAATGGAAGTGACCACCTAAAGACCAGTATTGTGAAGTACATCAAATCCATAAAACTACAAGACTATCAGGCGACGTAAATGATATTGAGAAAAATACGTTTGTTAGTATAAACAGAAAGTTAAAATATAAAAAACCCGACCACATGAGCCGTTTCAAATAAACCCATCCAATACTTAGGCGTCGTCTTGGATACTCGTCTCACATGGAACCTCATATTATTCATAAGCTGAATAAAACGTATTGAGCCCTATTCAAATTACATCCTCTTATTAATAAAAAATCATCTTTAATAATAGAAAATTCCCTGGCTAGCTACGTCTTCCGTTCTAAAATCCTTCCAAATCTTACAGAATACAGTGCTACGCACAATTACTAATACCTCTTAGTGTATAACCAACTGACAATTCCATAGACATCTCGACATAGAACCAATTGCTAATTACATATCCTTACTGTCGGCTAAATTATTTTCTAACTTCCAAACAGCCCCTCGTACCGGCCACTTTAACCTCGGTAAATCCAGCGTTGCTCCTACAAGAATTAAATCCTGCCTCCTAAAACATCTGTTCCGTCTCTCATAACCTAAAGAAATATATTTATCTCGCCTCTCACTTTTATCTTTCTTTCCTCTTACCTTCATACAGGTACCCAATGGGAATGTCCTTGCTAAGATATAGTGGGATTGATGATGCGCTAAGTTTTCCAGTTACCATTCCTTGAAAAATATTGTTAAATGCTTAAATGATCGAGAAATATTCTCTAAAATTTGAAAGCTACGCAATATTCAGTCAATAAACTCAATGTGTGGAAGATAGGAGAGGAAAATAAAATCAACGGGCCCCAGAAAGTAGTGTGAGGGCGTCGTGATGATGTCCTTCAAGGCAGACACATCCCAGATCGCCCAAGACAGATGGAAGGCTTTCTTACAGCGAATAAAGACAGGTTAACAGAGTATATAAGCCCAAGAGAAAGAAAAAGAAAGAAAGGTAAAAGAAGAAGAGACAAAGTAGGAGACGAAGAGAACAAAATACTGATAAACTCTCCAATTGTATTACACGAAGGCTGATTTTCAACACCAGGTAGAAAGCTACTGAATTGATCGATAGTGTCTGATTTCTCTGATCTTTATTAAACGAATACCGGAGCAGTACCTTGATAAACAAGCCACCGATCGCGCGCGATTTTTCCTTTCTCATCCTGTCACGGATGTAAGTGTAATTTATGGATGAGAAGAAATCCTGACACCTACATTTACAGAACTAATGACACAACAGTTGCACCCAAAAACAAAACCATCAATCCAATGCCTCTAGTCTTTTCCCCGCTGGGCGCAATCGAGTAAAAGCGTTGGGTACCTGCGCGCGGGGGCGTCGCAGCACCGGCGGCGCGCGCGCGGGGCGGGGCGGGGCGAGCGGGGCGGGCGACGCCCACGGGGCGGCGGTCGGCAGTCCCCGCCGGTGACGCACGTCACGCCTATCTGCATGGCGGCCGCCTGATCACCCCCGCCCCTCGCCTTGCCTGCGCGCCGCCATCGACCCGCTCACTCCTCTTGCAGCTCCTGCAGCCACTGGACAACTGCGCGCGCACACGCAACAGCACATTTAACAAAAACAACATAATTGCTCTCTGGCGGTAAGTGCATTTCAGATAGTTTATCAGTTCACGATAAGAAAAAAGCTTTTGGACAATATAGTATTGATAATGTTTTAGTAATTGCTATATGAGGAGTATGGGGCATAAACTGTGAATAACTTTCTTGGAACCACGAGTCCTAGCTCTCAAGGATTTGTATAGGCTCGTAATAATAATAATAATCTAATATAATATAATAATAATGATAATCAATAATAAAATAATATAATAATATTATAATATATAATAGATAATACTAAATATAAGTCTCCAAGCCCAGCCCTACGTCGAGCAATGGAGACTTAGCCACGTGGGGCGGGCAACTCAGAAAAATTTCGGCGGCAAACAGGCATGGCCACCATAGAGTTATGAGACACGTAGATATGGCGTCGTACAGGCTCGGAAAGCAGCCGCTGCCTGGCGGGCGCCGGGGACCTTTGGACACCCGCTGGAGGTGACAGGCATGCGAGCTGGTGGGGGATTCAGGAGTGACGGCGGCCCTGTGTTAAACCCGAGTATACTACAGCGACATAGCAGCACCATCCTCTCCCTTGAGCTGCACTTTCCGCAAGTGCTCTCCAGAGAAGCATTATTGCTCCGAGACCACTGCCGTAGGCAGGCACGCAAAGGATGAAGTGGAATATAGAATAAATACTTATCATCGTGAAATACTACACCGATTACAAAATGAGCTGACACTCACGGCCTTACGACAAGAGTTACATTTTTTCCCAAAAGGAATTTTTTTTTTCTTTTTCTTTTTCACCTTTCCGCTGATTCTGAAGTACGTGAGCAGAATTAGCGACCAGCGTCGAGCAATTGGGTCAGAAATCTCCTCTCTGCACCAGTTTTGAAGCAATCAAGGAAGAGTGAGAAAATTGTAAACTCTCAGAACCTATAATCTTGAGGCAGTGGAGACTCAGCGGCAAACTCAGGATGACATGGACAGCATGTCAGAAGTATGGATAATAGAGTAGAAGAAGAGTGGAAATTCGCAATGAATTTGCGAGTCGCACTGCGGATTTGAGGACTGACCCACTGACCGTATCTCATTCGCAGACAATTGCTCGAGGAACTTAGCAAGAGCGAATCAGCGTCTTGAATGAGAAAGTCCTGGCCACAACATCTACAACAAAGACCATCTTTCGAGAAGTACACGCAATATTGTGCTCGGTTTGGTTCAAGATGTAACGGTTCAGCTTTTCAACCGCGTAGCAACTTCCCATGATCGAAGTGACAAAGGATGCCACTTGGAAAGACGGTGTGAATCGTATAGAAAGCCCTAGAGAGATTTGGAGACTCCAGCAATTTAAAAAGAAATTACCTCAGAAAACTAGAAGAGGTGTACTCCTCATCAATACGAAGATTCATACGGAAGCACGAGCCTTGAATTAACAAGACAGAAATCTTCCCCTACGACAAAAGCTTTTGCGTTACACGCCTTCGACGCCTACAGGAATTGCATACGAGGAAAGCAACCGATTCTCTTTTTTAACAGAAACAGAAAGCATTCACAGGAATATGTCAAGGGCAAAGGCTTCGTAAATGATTGTAAGTCAACGTTCCCTCAAAGGCACAATAGAGACTTTTGGAGCCTAATTCCTGGTCATCTGCTTGTGTCCCAAACCCAGATATGACGTGGTTGAAAATGGAATATGACAGAACCAGATAGTTCTCTCAATGTGTGACCAATCATCACCGTGGAAATTGTCCAAGCTCTTTGAGCAAAACTAACTGGAGCACAGCAGATGATGGCCTCACAATTATTGGCTCAAAAATTTACGCAGCACTCACCATATATAGTAATATAATTCATATTTTTTCACATTCAGAAATTACCTCAATTCCTCACTGAGTAGACAGTTTTGTTACAAAGGAGGGTGCACTAGACTCTCGAGTTACAGGCCCTATAACTGCCTTCCAAATCTTCTACAAACTAACATAACATCTAATGTGTTTCGCCACATGATTTGATAGACACACATTGCAGGACAGAACATCTTAGCCAAAATGAACCAAAGAAAGGATGACGACCTGGACTATCAGGGACAATGCAAGGCAGCAAACTTCTTACAGACTCTGTTTCAAATTATGGGGAAAGTGCAATGAAAACAAAAGAAAACTATGCACGCCATGCTAAATAGATTACGCTAAAAGCATTCGACACGTGCCCATTTTACTGCTCCTTCATCGTTTGAGATGATATACAAGCGTCCACCCCTTTATCAAACTTCCTAGAAAACGCGATGAGTCGATGGAAACAAAAACTGTATCTCTCTAATGGAAACCTCCGTCCACACGATATATACACATCCGCGAAGGGATTTACCGGGATGACTCTTTAAAGCCTTTATTGTTTGTTTAGCCTTGAATCCCCTCTACATACTCTATAGAATTCAATCTTACTCTATGGGAATCGCTTTAAAAAAGGGAACTCAACTTGTTTGATCGTCTCACATACTCCGTTCTACCATAGGCATGAACCTGAACTCTATTGACACTGAGGTCATATTGCGGCAACTATAAAACGTGACGGAGAAGTGCATACGTCATTAGATGGAAATTCGTTTGGATAAGTGCAGGAGAGTGAAGATCATTCGGGGTGATATGAAGTTAAATTTGGAAACTGCTATGAACCAAAGCTTACCTTTCTGGACCCATGAACTTACAATACATTGGGTTTCCAACAGTCACCCGAATCAAAACACTGTTACTAGAATATACTAACCAATGAAGTTGTGTAAACGATTGCATGGGCTCTAAAAACTCAACTCTCTGCTAGACCTTGTGAGGCATCAATCATTTTGTTATTCCAGTGTGATCATCCCTTTGGCGTTATTAAATGGAAGCAATCCGACTCGGACAACTTCTGAGACATTCGAACCGCTATGATCACACCGAAAACATCATTCCCATTCAAGTACTGAGCGTTTTACTATCAAGGTCGCCGGAGGGCAGAGGTATTTGTAGATCTCATAAATACTACACAGCTCTCAAATTGCTTCAGTCAGAAGATACTTCTTGACATTGTGGGAGAGTTCGCAAGCAGTGAGCGCAGTTGATAGTACTATAGTCCTCTGAACTTTGAAAAAGCTTGATCGCCTGTTCAACCCTCATTGAAACCGGAGAGAAGATAACCTTATGGAAAGCAAAGGCACTGCATTGGGAAGGTCCCTCCACGAGCTGAGTAACCAGAGAAGTCGACATTCTCTGCGTCGCACCAATGGCTCCAGCACGGGGATCTCTTCCGAGAGACGAAGCCTTCATGATAGCTATCCAGGCAAAGTGGTACCAAACATTGAAGTACAGAAAACACATTTGAGAGATCTTCATTCATCCGACTGTGTAAAGATGTGAGGCTGCAGCGAAACTACACACGTGACAAGTGGGATTGTAGCAGCCACGCACAGTGGATACAAAAGCAGGCCATGATGAAGTGGCGAAGCAGGTACAACCCCAATTATTGGCCGTTGGAGACGGGCTTACTCGCCACTTCCGTGCCGTATTATAATTATGTGCCTCAGAATGTGCTGAAATAGGTGAGCACAACTCTACTGGATCGTTCCATTATCACTGACAACATGTCGGCGGCAATAGACCAGATATAACGTACGATTTGATAGAAAACAACAGCAGGTTTTCCTTATCGATATGTCAATACCCAATACCACAACATTCGGAAAATATCAGAGAAATCCGAAGAAATACCGATATGCCATGAAGTCGCACACTCAGTGGAACTTCAGTAATGACGACTGTGCCTATAATATCAGTACGGGAGTGATCCCGAAAATGCACTTCGGGCACTGAGTGGTTCTTCCTTGGTACAGATGTATATTATATTGCAAAAGACGTAATTTTTTGATACTGCCGTCATTGTCAGAAGCATTGAACTTCAGTAAAGCACCACACCGTCTAACCTGTGTGTGGGTTGACCTACCGACATAGTACTGTTGATATGTTAAGACAATAATAATAATATATTATATAATAAGTAATTAATAATAACATAATTAATAATAAGAGAGCGTTCATGCAAATTACGTGTCCATACTCAATTTTCAGAACGCAAGAACTGAATTG